GGTTTGAGATCAGCCTGGGTGACATAGCAGGTTCCACTGGCTACATAACAAGACTATCTCAAGGTGTGAGAGGAGAGGGGAGACCATGTGAGAGGGGAGGCAGAGGAGGGGAGGAGAGAGAAAGCACCAGAAAGGAGACATTTTACCTGTGGAGGTAATTCTTTCTCTCTGGTCCTTCTCTTGAGCTCATGAAACTCAGAAAGCTTGGGCCTTTCCAACCTCACTTCATGTAGATTTAGACAAGTTCTGAATCTGGTTCCAGGATCTTTTGCACTCTTATACTGTATATTATTGAGGATCTCAAAGTTTTTGTTTATATACATTATAGTTATAAGCATTTATTAAGAAATTTAGTTCATGCAAATAATAATACACCCATCATGTGCCTACATAAATACTTTTCTGGTGAGAATAATTTTAAAAAATGAGAGAGAGAGAGCATAGTTTTGAATTTGTGAGCAAATCCTCACAAAACAAAGGGTTCCCAGACCATACTGTGTGGATTTTTGACTTAGGAGTTTATTCTTTTTTTTGGTCTTTTTCGTTTTTATCGGTACCGGGGATCGAACTCACAACTACCTGCTTGCAAGGCAGGTACTTATGCCACTGAGCTAAATCCCCAGCCCCTTAGGAGTTTATTCTTAATATTATTCCTTTTTGCTGTTCCAAGTCAAATGCTCTGTCAGGAGAAAGCCTATTTCTATAAAGATAAACTGTTTAAAATTTCAAATGTATGTCTACTAGGTATCTCTTTTCCTCATGTACATCCAGCTGCCTTCCTGTCTTTCTCCATCTTGCTCTGTGACATCTGTAGGTAAATTCAAGGGGCTCCCTGGTCCTCTGCTTCCAGCTGGGTTTGGCCAATGGTGACTGCAGGGAGAAGAATGAGGCTGGGGTAGTTACTTTCCAGTTGACAAAGGCTTGCTCTGTCCTTCACCCAAAGGTCGAGGTCCTTTTCCCGCAGACCCTCTGCAATCTGTTTCTTTCCCAGGAAACCCCTTCTGCTAGTTTTCTTTTCTTTTGGTGGTGCTGGGGATTGAACACAAAGTCTTTACTCTAAGCTACATCTCTAGCCCTTTTTAAACTTTTGAGACAGTATCTCACTAAATTGTTAAGTTGTCCAGGTTGCATGCAAATTTTCAATCCTCTTGCCTCTGTCCTGGGGGTGGAGGTCTGTTCTGTCATGCGTGCCTTGTTTACAGGTTTCTGTCATCCCTTCCTCTCCTTATTCCTGCAGACACAGCAATGATAACGCGCTCCCTGCAATTAGCCCTAAACTAGAGTTTAGGATTTATCTTTACTCTGACTATAGCTTTGGAAATAATTCTTTTAAACTCTTGTCAAAATTCCAAACGAGTATATCATCCATTTCCTGCTGGACTCTGATCTATTTAGTCAGAGGAATACCTTAAGTAAAAAATTCAGTCTAAGTATTATCCATAGCATTGGACCCCCTTGATTTTAATGGAAGCTAGAAAGCTGTAAAACTGGTATCTCAGAGAGTGTGGCCCTTAATGGTTCTGGAAAGAGAGGGATGGGTGCACTGAAGACCAACTGTTATCTGTAGGACTTTTTGATTTTGTGTCTGCTTGGTTTTACTTTCATTTGTACAAAGATAAAACACAAACATAGCTGAAAGTGTTTATAAATGCTAATGTGGCCATAATCTGGGGTAGCAGCATACCAATCAGGCAATGGATCATGATTAGTTCAAACCAGTGGTTTATTGTTTCATTTTTTGCTGTCCTGAGGATCAAACCCAGTACTTTATGAATGGCAGGCAAACTCTGCACTACTGAGCTCTCTTTCCAACCCAAGTCAGTATTTCAAGTATATTCCCCAGACCAAAGCACCCTAGTACTAAGACATACCCTCAGCCTTGACATCTTACTTTAAAAGGTATATCTATAGTGTAGTTAACATGAAAAAAATCAGAAAGTTTTTCTACATTAAGGTTCGTGTTATTTCAATTTTGCAAATTATGTATCCTGACTGCTTTGCATTACTATGAGAATCTAAATCTCTAGAGGAAGATTGTTATGATTCCCACTTTATTATAGAACAAAGCGAAGCTTGGAGAGTTTAGTAATTCACTCACACAGCTAGTTAGTTGTAGATCCCATTATGGTGATACTTAATGTTTATGACGCACACTTGTTTTCCTTTGAAAGTTGTAAATGTCATTGGACCTGCTTTAATGGTTTACTGTTTTAATAGTATACAACACACAACAAAGTGAATCTGTTTTTGGTGTCTCTTGTATTCTTAGCAACTAGAATAGTACATGTTACTTATTTTGGCAGTGGGATTGAAAGAATGAATGATATACCATCATCAGTCTATCCACATGATTGAATTTTATATAATTTTGGGGTCAACCAAAGATGAGTGAGAAGAAAATCAAGCAGGTCAATAAAACTGCTCTGACGCTTTTTTTGTGGTTGCTTGAATTCTCAAGACAAGAGTCTGCAGATATCTCCACTTAGTTCTTAATTCTGCATAGTCACTATTTTGGAATCTGAGGTCCCAGATTCCTTTCCACTTATATAAAGTCTGTCAGGCAAGGAAGTGTGATTTGAGGAAATATGTTCTATAAATCATTCAAATAGTATTTCCCAAGAACTGTATGATCTTGTACTACTAATAAAGAAAAAAATGGAGAGGTGATATCTCAATGGTTCCATGTGCCTTTTTTTTATCACACCTTGCCTCTGAACATGCAGACATAGGGAAAAGAGCTGGGCAAAATGGTACACACCTATAATCTCAGCCCTTTGAAGGCGGAGCTCAAGGATAGTGAGTTTCAGGCCAGTAAGAGCTACAGGGTGAGCCCCCATCTCAAAATAAATAAATGTGGAAAAGGAATTTTAGTTTATAGCTGTCTCCATTACTCCATGCCAGAGATTATAAAGCACGGGGGTGCATAAAAATCACTGGGGAACTATTTAAAAATTTCCTTTTGCCCCTGGATTTGATCCCTAGCAGCACAATTACAAACAAACAAATAAAAATAAAAGTTTGTTTTTCTGAGCTTGCAGACATGAAAGAACCTGGGAATCTAAACTCCAGGTGTTTCTGATGTTTGTTGTTTATTCACCATGCTGTGAGAAACAACACCCTTAAGAAATCTTGAGCATGTTTTAAAAAATCTGAATTGCAATTGTTTTAATTTCTACCGTTCTAAACATGTATACTGGAAATGTCTTATTCCTAAATTTGCCTTCCCAAAGCTGACTCCCTTGGGTCTAAGCTTAAATCACTTGCCCAAACCAATTTACACCAAAGTATGAATGAGGTTTAAAAGCTCTTTCAAAGCACTTGCTCTAAAAAAAATATATGTTTATATATAAATATATAAAAAATATATAAATATATATAAAATATATAAATGTATATATAAAATATGTAGAAATCTGTATACATCCTAAGGTAAATTACAGTTTTAATTGAGGGGAACTAATTGTGCAATACCTTTTGGTCTAATGCAACTGATAGAGGGATCCCGCCTGCTTTTTTCATCTACCTAACTGAATTACTATAATTTATTCTGGAAGCGTCCTGTGTCATTGTGAATCCTTCCTGTGATCCAAGGGGAGGATCTTGTATCTCATCATCATTCCCTGATCACACATCTCTTGAAACAGGAGTAATTTACTTTTGTCTCTGGCTCCGCATGCAATGCCTGGCAAATAGGCGCTCATTTATTGTAGAATGAATGATTGAATGGCAGAGCCTAGTCTGAGTCTTTGTAAAATCAATGCGGACTTGAGAAACAAAACATGGAAATTCCAAGGGCTGCACACTAGACAGTAAAGAAACAATCAAAATACCATCTAACAGCATAGAATCTTCCTGAAGGAATCGTATGTCTCACTTGCTCAAATCACTTTCCGTCCTTTTCTGACAGCCCAACTTCCCGCCCACTATTCCCTGCAGTAGACCTGTCCGGCAGGTATCCCAGTTCAGCGGCTTTGATTGGCCGGCGATGATTTCATTGTTCGGGAACATCCGGGCCTTTCCTCTCCTCGCAACACCCCCCCAGGGTCTTGCCCGCCCAGTATCTCACTCCCGCCTGGCCCCACCCGTTTCTGAAGCAAAACTACCGCCTCTTCCCAGTCCCACTTCTTGTCCTCGTCCTCACTATCCCGTTCCCATCTCTGGTCCAGAAAGGCACTTATTTCCTCCAATGAGGGCTTAGGGTGACTCTTGTGGGCCAATTACTGGCCAACTCTCTGCGATTCTGGGTGGGACTAGGTTCCGACACCTATAACCCGACAACCCCTGGGCTTTTTTATGGCGCTTGTTTTACGCAAGGCTTAAAGGTCAAAAGTAAGAGAACATGGTCCTCATAGAACGGGAAGAACTCGCACAGACTCCTCTGGGTTTGGCTGTTTTCGAAGACTAGCCAATCGCTTTTCGGATACTTCCCCGCCTTTTGCGCGTTTAAAAAAGGCCGGTGTGACGGACTTGGAAATAGGTTCCGTGACGGGCACGTCGAGCACGCCAATGACCGAGGTTTCAGGACACGTTTGAACCAATAAAACAAAGGAGTCCCTGAGGCTCCAGCCCGGCGAGGCGGAGCGCAGATGGGAGTAATTTGAGTGACAGATGATTCCACTTACGACTGGCACGGTGGGTTGGCCCCTGACGTCCAGGAGGTTAGTTGCCGAGCGGAGGTGGGGCTGAATGAAGTCAATGGTAATAAAGGGTTGGGCCTCACTTAGTGGGCGGATATTGATGGATAGCTGACCTTGCCAATTAAAGGTGATAACTGATGCCCAATGAAAAATTAGGAGCTCAGAGGCGGGGCCGTAAGGGCGGGGAAAATTGAGTGGACGTCACCAGGGGGAGATAAATTGGGAGGGATAACAGAGATTGACAGGCCTTGCAGCAAATCAAAGGCCACAGGAGGATGCCCCGCGGCCCAATGGGTGGGCTGTGGAGGCGGGGATCTCCGGAGGGCGGGGAAAGACGGGGTGCGGAGAGGGGGTTGCAGAAGGAGGCGAGCCGCTGCTGCTCAATGGCGGAAAAGCCGCCGGTGCTCTGACTGCCTCGTCCCCCTACAGTTGCGGGGGAGTTTCCTGCCGGCGCGGCTGGAGTCTCTGTTTCTCAGTGTTCGGTGGGTGGAAGATGCTCCAGAGAGACGAGGCTGCGGCGGAGGCGGAGGCGGTGGCCGAATCGGCAGCGACTCTAGGGTGGAGAGAAGGCGGCGGCGGCGGCGTGAGGGGCCGGGCGGTGTAAACAGCCCCGGTGGCGGCGGAGGCGGTAGTGGCCGAGAGCCGAGGGTTGAGCGGCGGCTGAAGCAGGGTCACGCCTCCGGCGGAAGCCTGGGCTGAGAGCAGCGGGCGCGACGGGACGCCTCAGACCTCGCCTCCCTCATTGGCCCAGGTGAGGTTGCTCGGTGCCCGCCGGAGGGGGAACGGCTGCCTCTCCGCCGGGTCCTCGCATCGGGTCGGGGCCTCGGGCTTCGGCGGGGGCCTAGGCAGCGGGACTCGGGGCCTGGTTCCCAGGTAGGCCTCTTCCCGCCGCCGCCTCCGCGCGCGGCCCGGGCCGGGAGAGGCGCGGGGAGGGAGTGGAGTTCGCTTCAACGCCTGCATCAACTGCTTCCCCGTCCCTGCTCCAGGGTGCAGGCACCTCGCGGGAGCGCCGGCGCTGCCCTGGGCCGGGGCTCTGGGCTGGGGCTCTTCCCTTCCTGGTGCAAGCGTGACTTGAGAACACCACCTTTCTCCCTCGTTTCCTAGTCAGCTTCTACCCTACTCTGCGTTCCGCTTCACTTCCTTGTTAAATCTTGCTCTTCTGTCTGTGGGTCTCCCTGTCTCCTTCCTCACTGGTAGTTTTAAATCCTTCGTCTTTCTCTTCTTAAACTCCTGGCCTTTCTCGCCTGTCTTTCCAGCATCGTTCTTTTTAAAGGATGTCATTCTTCTTAACAGTGAAGTTCTTAATTGAAGCTTGTCGTCGGTACCCCAAATATGCCCGAAGCTCATTAATGGTAGACCGATCAACTTTATATGGTAGATCACTTTCTTGTGTTGTAAGTCTAACATTCTTTTAAGAAAAGATTTGTTAAACCTAGAGTGAAAGTAACATTGAAATTATTTTTAAAACAAAGGGCTGAGTATTAGAAGTAGTTTCAATTTTTTAAAAAAGTTGCATGACCTCTAATGTCAGTTTTAGCAGTTCTGGGACTTCTGCCCAGTTTATTTGACAAAAATGTTTTTTAAACATTTGATAGCAACTTTAATTCATCAGTATGCAAGCCGTTCTAAAAACTTGAAAACTAAAAAAAAAAAAAAAAAAAAAACCATAAACTACTAGGAAGCTATTAAAGTCACAGTTAAAGAACTTTTAAAATAGGCTGCACATGTTTAATGTATCAAAATAAAGTTGGCAGCAATCTTAAAAAAGGATTATTTAGGAATTTGAGTAGTCTTAGTGTTATGTAGCTATTTTGGGAAAAACAATTTTTCTTCTAAACCTTTACATGTACTCTGATGTGAGAATTACTGAGGTTTATTGTGGGATTAACACAGGAACTCTATATTTGAGCTACTGCATGGATGGAGAAGTGGTAAATTGTTCGGTGTAAGTCACAGTATGTTCTCCGAGATGGGAGAAACATGTCGATGCCGAATGCTAGTAGATATTATTTCATTTACTTTCTCTTGTGTAATAGCGAAGTTCCTATTGTTGGCCTACTTTTAAATAGAGCATTTCTAAATAGTGAGGCTAGTTTTTCTAATTATGTCAGTAGACTTTTCTGAGGTACAGCATAGGCTTTTAGAAAATACATAGTTGAAGTAACAAAATGGTAATTGTTAAGAGAATGTTTCTGTAAGTCTCCCAAATGGACAGTGTGTTGTTATAATAGAACTTTAAAAATGTATTTAGGACAGGTTTTTTTTTTCAGGGATTTTTTTTTAACTTTGTCTTTTAATGACTTCTTTGTCTTTTTTTTTAATGGTTGTATTCACCTCTTCATTCGTTTTTGTTCTTCTAAAGTCTTCAACAGTTTCTGTAGTGGACCTTTATATTGTTGTGTTAGCAAGGAGTAGTCGTATGTTTTTATTTGAGCTTTCACATCTTTTAGTTAATATTTCCCCAGTTTCTTGTAGATTATTATGTGGATTTGTTGATAGGATTATTCTCAAAAGTGACTAGGAAACTTTCACTATGTATTCTTACCATTCTTTCCCTGGGTGTCTGATTTCTCTGAAGACTCTAGGAATAGGTGAGAAAGCTTTTCAGTTTGTCTGGTGGTTATGTCAGCAAATACTGTTTTATGTTAGTAAGCCACGGATTATAATTACTAAATCCTTTAGGATTACGTCATCCGAAGGAATGGTGTAGTGTCTTAATAGCTGTGCTTCGAAGAATAGCTGGTTCACAGGGTCAGAAAAAGTGGTTCTTGTTGGAGGTTACAGTATTTTCGTATAATGTACACTTTTTAGGGGGTCTTGAGTGAAGCTGTGATGCTAACTTTCTCTTGGCAGAATTAGCCATATTATCACTAAGTGATTATAGAGGTTCATTAAAAGTTAGTTGACCCAACAATGGATTGCAACCATACCCTTGTACCATGTTGGCCTACATTTATTGTATGTAATAGGGAGAGGGAATGTTACTTTGTTTTTCACATTCATTTGTGTTGGTTACATGTATACTCTGTATTTTATGAATGTTTATAAATAGTAACTAAAGTATTTTGGGACGTTACTTAGTATCAATAGTAAAATATAAAAGGATGGTCACTCATAAGATATTAATAAAATAAATGGAATTGACTTTTTTTTTTTGAGACAGAGTCTTACTGTGTAGTCTTAGGCTGGCCTTGAACTCACTATGTAATCCAGGCTGACCTCAAACTCTCCTGGATCCTCCTGACTGAGCCTTGAGTGCTGGAATTTACAGATGTGCACTGCAAGGCCTGGCCAAAAATGACTTCTTAAAATACAACACCTGATTTTTACGTTTTGCTGTGAAATATGCTCTTCAAAATTAATTGATTATAAGGGAAATTAATTGAAAAACAATCAGTGTAGCTGGGAGTGGTGGCTCACCCCTGTTATCCCAGCCAGCCAAGGCTACAAAGTGAGCTCAAGGCCAGCCTGAACTGCACTGCAAGACCCTGTCTCAAAAAGACAAAAAAAAAAAAAAAAAAAAAAAAAAGAAAAACAATCAGCGGTATCACAGTAATGTTTTCTTTTGTGTCTAAATTCTAATATGGAAATTTGTTCAAACAGTGGGTTAAAGTGTTAAAAAAAAAATATTAGTGGGACCCTAGCATGGTTGCACACAGCTGTAATTGCAGCTCGTGGAAAGCTGAGGCAGGAGGATTGCTCTCAGTTCCAGGCCAGCCTGGGCTACATAGTTGAGAGACTGAAAAAAACAAAAACAAACCAAAAAATATTAATGGAAAGAATTTGGGAGAACATAATGTTTCTGGATTTTCAAGTGATTCTTCACATGGTACTTGATTTTTTTTTTTTTTTTTTTTTTTTTTTTACTTTAGTGAACTAATTTCAGAGCTGAAACAAAACTGAATACTGCTATTTATTTTGGCAGCTTTAAAATTGTAGGGTAGGATATATCTAATACATCAGCAGAATTGTGAAAAGGATTGATTAGTGAAGAGATGTGAGACGAATTTCCTAGAAACTGGGTAGACCCCCGGTGGGTAACCTAGACTACTTCACATCTCACCTTCTTGTACTCACAAGTGAAGGTGGTAAACAGAGTAGATTTGGTGGGTGCTTAGTTGTAGTACTGTGTGCTGGACAGTCGTAAAACGTGGACAATGGCAGAGCTCAGGAGCTTCTCACAGCTGATCTAACAATTACAGAAAAAGTTCCCTGAGCTTCATAATCTGTTGTGCCTTTTTTTTTTTTCCCTGCTAATGTTGGGGATTGAATCCAGGACCTTCTCACTGACTTACTGCCCCAGCCTATTTTCTTTTTTTAAAATTTTGATACAAGCTGGAGTTGAATTTTTGCTAAATTGCTCAGGCTGGGATTGAAATTTTGATTTTTCTACTTCAGCCTCTCAGATGCTGGGATTACAGGCTTGTGCCACCACCTGGCTAACTTTTGGGCTTTTTTGGACCAAATGTGTTAATGTTGTTTTGGAATCTTCGTGCAAGTAATACATTTCTCATATGATGTTTAAAAATCTCTTTGATTTGAAAGATGAATTATTTTCAGCATTGTCTTTTTTTTTCCCCATGAAGAATACTACCCTGTAAGTCAACTTCAGTTATTTTACAAGGTAATTGAATCAGTGTTAGGATAAAAAGGCCCTTTATTAAATTTTTATATGTTAGTGAAATTCCCCAAAAGTGATTTATTTATAATGCATCCTTATGAGTTTGATATTTAATTTTTAGTGGCATTGTGTCCTAAGAAACATCATATGATGGCATATACTTTAAGTTTTCAAATTTTGGAGTGTTTTCTCTTCAATTTAATTTTAATAACAGACACCAACCCAATGCTTTTGAATTGTGATGTTATACAGGAAATTTTTGGTACATTTGTTCCTTTATTGTAGTTACTGTGTGACTAAATCTACAATATCTTACTATTCTTTTGGCATAGCATATTCCTTTTGTAATGATATATCTTGTAATAGTTTGTTTAACTTGAACTCAATAGCTTAATTTTTTTTTTTTAAATGGTAGTGGTGCTGGGGATTGAACCATAGACCTCCTGCGTGCACACATTGCTGTAGCTGTTTGCCTCAGCTACCAAATAGTTTTAATATTATTGTACTTAAAATTGATTCAAAATTTTGCCGAGAATATAGCTCAGCAGCACAGTGCTGCCTGACAAGTCTGAGGTTGTGAGTTCAATCCCTGGTACCAAACAAAAAAAATTTTTTTTGACTTTACATTGATTTATTTCTTTCACTTGAGCTTAAGATTCTGTCAGATATGGCCTGATACTTAGGGAAAGGAGACACACTGGAAGCAATCCACTGACTAACAAGGAATTTATCTTACTGTGTCATTAAAGGAAACAGTTACAGACATTGAGATAGGAAGAATGACATCTGTTTCTAAGATTGTTACGATTTTTGTCCATGTACAGTGTCCTTTGCTTAGGATAGGATGTAAGTGAGAAGGACATGGTATTGCATACCGTTAATCCCAGCACTTGGGACACAGAAGCAGGGAGGATTGCCATGAGTTGTAGGTGAGTTTGAACTGCATAGCAAGACTCTATATATAAAAACAATTGTATTACAGAAATAGGGAAAACCTTTTCTTTTATGGAAACCTGTTAAAGTTATGATCTTAGGTACAGTCACATTTTTAATACTGAGAAACTTAAGTTGTGTTTGATAGGCCTGAGCAGAAGCAAGCTCAACAAAGGACATGTAGATTGTTTAAGGGT